AATAGAAACCTACTTGATGCTAGACGATTATTTAGACAATACAAGATATACTGGGACTCACTGTTCTTACTGGAAAACCCCATTTTCCTATATTTTTTATAGAACCCACGACTAGTAAGTGCTTTTTATGGCAAGGGGGTTCTTCCGTCAGTAGATTAGTGGTTTAGCGGTTCCAGCTTTGGAAATCTTGGTTTCCGTTGCTATGGTTACACAGGTGAAGAGATTCATGATTCGAGTATATGATTCTTGAATGAACGAATGAACCGTCAATTGGTTGTAATCAGAATTATATGTTAGCTTTATAGAGCCAGTTGTGATAGCTGGTTTTGATGATTATCGGATGCTGGTTCAACCTCATGTTTGATTGTGTTCCCCAAATGTTGGCCTTTGCGTTTTCTGTGTAGGTTAACGCTTAGACACCTTTAAATGTTAAGTACTAACCTCGGTCTTAAATGTGATTATAAAATGAAGATAAAGCTCATCTGTTCTAGATCATGATCTGTTCGTTTCGATATACATAGATTTTGATTGCCATTTGATATCATTTTAAGTTCTAAGATGGACGTTATGCGGGGCTATTGCTTGATATTTTCAGTTGGGCAAATGGTGACCAAATTAAAAAAACTTATTTTGAATATTCAATGAATTTTTGCCCATGTTACATGAGATTCATGTACTCTTACATAATATTCATGTACTCACATGTACTCTTACATAATATTCACAACTTACACAAAGTAATTGTGGAAGAAGCCGGTGAAATGGAAATAAGGTCAAAGGAAAAGATCATGAAAATGATATTGAAGACAAAATAATGACAATGAATGAAAATAATGAATCTGAACTTAAAACTGTTGATTAAAATAAAGCAAATGATGCTGAAGAGAAGAATAATGAAGCTGAAACTGATAAGACAACAACTGATTGGCGAAACGTAAACATCGATGGATTGGTGCTCATCGGAATTGACCCAAACAACAGGTTCATCAAAGCAGTTATCCTTATGTTAACAATCTGTTTAGGACAACATTCCAAAAACTTAATCATCTGAGCTTGTACTGATCTGTCAGGAATCTTAACTTCGTATCAGAACATCAACATAGTGGAAAGCTGACCTAAAAATATTTTCTATTCTGAGACCAGATCTTCTTCGTATAAACATCATTAGGAATTGCCCTGGTGGGTTGATAACTATACTTTATGAGTTTTCGAATTCTTAAATGTTGCCCTTTGTACACTATGCGATATCCATTATTGAAAATTAAAAGGAAGATGATGTTCGATGAATTAATTCCAAATTGAAAACTTGACAGCATCGATTAGTAAGATCAGGTCAAGCAACCTCATTTGGCATTTAATCCCGTGACCACATAGATCAAAATAGTAAATGAACTTAATTGGTATCAGTTACGAAAAATCGCACCAAACATATACACTTCATCTTTTGGTAACCCAACTTACCCTCATGGTTTACAAATGTGTTGATGCAAGTCTGAATTTTATCCAAATTGAACCTGAGAAAAATGAACTATTTTCGAGGAAATGGATGATAAATGTCATGCAGTTTTGATGCATCTTGGATTTCAAAAGTATGCAGCATATCATGATGAAAGTCAAACTCCAAAAGATTAGTTAGTATGGTTTCTGAAATTGAATTCTGCAACTAATAGATAGGCTTCTTCAAAAACCGAAAATATTATGTCTCCAAAGTTTAATATTATAAACTTTTCCCATTGAAATAATATGGGATGAATTTGTGAACATGTACCAAGTCGACCAGTGGACCCACAATTTCCGTTTGGTCACTTGAGAAGTTTACATCAAGGTTTGTTTGTCTTTCTGAAGTGGAGAATAAATCTGGGTAAACGAGTGTTAAAAATGATATGTTTCGAAGATACATCCATCTAAACATATGTCGGACATTGCTGACTTTGATGTGTTTCTAAAAGTCGCCAAAGCGATTGGAAATGATGGGCAAAGAGAAAGCTATATTATCTATCCAACAGAAATGTTTTCAAGTAGAAAATTTAAATTTAAATAATTGGACGTATTGGAAATAAAGTCAATTTCCATTTCAGCAAGTAGATTTTTGTCACCATCAGAAGTGTTGACATATTGTTAACAATTCTTTGTGGACGGTGTCGGCGTCTGTAACAATACTAACAAATGTCTGGTGGTGGCATTTTCATGTTACTGCCCATGCCTTGTCCCTTTATATAGGCATATAGGTTAATCAGCTTTAAATAGTAACATAAACAGTCGTTTTGACACTCATTGCCATAGGGGAGTTTGGCTTGCCAAAACTTTGATGAGAGAGGAAATATGATTTTCCAATACATTCGATATATGTGAATTTTTACAAATGATTATACAAATACAACGTATTGAGGTCACCAGGGATTAGCCCTACTCTGTATAAGCCTCTTTAGTGCTCTAAACATTCCACAGTGGCTTTGAAAGACACGGTCAACACCGATTCAAAGTGTAAATACTTTATAACAAAAAAGCATGCAACAAAATCTACAAATATCATTGTACCATTCAATGACAAAGTATGATCAAGTTTCAATATTTAACATCACCAACTTACAGTTCAAACTCATTTACACAAAGTTTATTCAATGGTTTTGCTAAAGATAAAAGAGGTGTTTTTAGTCAAGTCAAACGAAAGTATTTGGTACTCAAAGGATGAGGGGACATTTTATTGATATTTTATGGTCACTCTTTTTGAACTTAATGCGAATGTTTCGGATAAAATATTTCACGATATATTCACCCCTATCTATTTTATAGTTTAGTTGCTAGTGTATGGGCAATGGTCCCCTTTTCAAATATGAATCCTTTGATAAGCAATGTCAGTTTTACTATACAATGGAACGCAACACAATTACAATGAAAAAGTACCTGCGTCGGCAAATTTCTCCTGAATGAGAAACTGCACGATTGCACTTTTCATAACCAATTCATTCCAATAACCTGAGTCCTCGACACCACCATGAGATGGATCTAAGATGTACCGGTTTCTTGTATGAAAATCCTATCAGTTGAGTACATATTTTTCAAACAGGAAAAAGTGTAGAACAAAAATAGGCTTGCTCTAGCCCCTCTCAGCGCCCAGCCCCCACCCTTTGCTGGTATGCACATCTACATAATAGGGAAACATTTAGAGTGGAGGGTGTCAGCGAGAAAAAATCATTTTCATTGACGTATCATTATTTCAAATTATACAAGTGATATATCAGAAATAGTTTCTTTTACCATCACCAGCATAAGATGGTCTATGTCTAATAAGTATTTAATACTAGTATGACCTGATTTTAGTAACCCTGACTGGGAGTGAACAACTGTAACAACCCTAGATATTTGTTTTCTTTTCATGTAGAGTTGCCATACTTGGATTATAATAGGTGGAAGGGATTGTTGGCCAACCATACAGCCGTGAAATGGCTGATCAGTATAGTGTCTAATGAGGCTCTACTGATAAAAGTTTCACTTGTGAATAACAAGACAACAATCTCCAAATTCCATCTCGAAATAATCCTCTTAAATATGATCGCTTGTGGTCTGGGGGATTTGGTCACGTTTCCATTTTTGACTTTGCGTACTCTGCAGCTTATGAGTTGAAGTATCGGATTTTCGAGATTACCAGCTACAATCGTGGATTAGGATAAAAGCAGATCAATTTCAAATTAGGAGGCTTTACCTGTAACTCGAAATGTGCATATTTAAGTAGGAGTTTTCACCAGTCGTGTACGACTGTAACACATTCAATACAACCGTCCCAATAACCATTATGTCAATAACTCATATTTACCACAGGCAAACCTTTCAAAATGGGATTAACAATATTTTTATTTGGGACTATGTGAACCTAGCAAACGTTGGGTTATTCATAAGGTACACTCTCAACAAGAGAAAATGAATTAAATCTCGAAGAGTTAAAGTGGCTGGCGATAAAAACATAGTTCAGGAATGCCGACCATTGTATATTATAGGAATTTATTGTGACTCTTTCCATCAGCTTAACTATTAAGGTCAAATGTCATACATTGTCATTGAACTGAATAATGGCTCTAATAAGAATTGCAATATCAAATTGCATACCAGTGAACATGACTTATGATTTAAAAATCAAATTGTTCGTGAACCATTTCGCGTTTTTTAATTGTCCGGACAACAAAAGTATTGATTTGTATAATGTTAACCTACAACCAATACCCAAAAGTGCACTAAAGTATAAACATGATGATCAAATATATGTAAACAACCCAAATATAGTCCCGAAATTGGCCCGACCACGCCCACTAATTCCCAACATTACACACAGACATCAGCAAGATTTAAAGTCCATTATCTGTCTCAGAAAAGGAAGGAATAAATGATTTATTTATTGTTTCAATTCCTCAGCATAGCTTAATGATGAGACTGAGATTATTTGGCATTTCCACTACCAGCAGTAGATTCTGTAAATATCTTACTTGTGATCAAGTTACGAAATATATTTTTAGATCCACTCTTAATCGCGTACGATATAACACCGGCACAATCAACTGAACACTTGAAGTATAAATTATTATGTTTATGAAATATAATTTATTTATCCGTTTATTTCATGTTGCTTGGCATGGTTGTTGTTTAAAATGTTCATGATTTATGCATTTGGTTGATCGAGTTTGATTGTTATACTGGGGTTTGCTTGTACTAGAGTACATGGGAATTGCATGCTTGGCAAACATTCAACGTTCAACTAAATGTATGTGAACAGCCAAAAATCTACTTTAAAACTTTGGTCCAAAAAACTCTTATACATATACGTCCCGAAGCAATGTATTTAATCAACAGCAAAAATCTTTATATTGCATTATATAAAGGATATATCTCAGTAAATAAAATCAGATACTTGACTAAACATAATCAGAAACCCTTAATCTATTCAATTAAAAACTAATATAAAATTTATATATGAACTCATAGCACTTGTTTTCATCATTCCTACTCACCTGAAGACGGGTCTCCGAGGTAGGTGACATGCCTCGGTAGACATTGTAGCGGTTGACAGATTTTGTGCTACTGGTTCCATCATCCGAGCTGATGATCGTAGTCCTCTCGATCCTGGAACTTGAGCTACTCATTTTGAGAGATAAATGTCCTAGGAATCACAGTCCTATTAAATAAAATGTAAAATCCGCGATGTCGAAACGTGGCCCGAACTTTCCTTCTTTCGGCTGGCAGACTGAACGATGTTGTTAACCCTGGATGAATTCTTCAAATACTCAACCCCTTGTTTATATACCCAGAACTAACACCGATAGATGGTGTTGCGTGACGTCACTCATAAGTACATTATTTACCTACAGCCTTATCCAAGCTGGATGATCAAATATCTCATAAACAACACAATTTTGATACGTGAACTTTGAAGAATAGCAAAGCTTGTATTTTAATGCCTTTATTGTATTTTATGAATTAAAGTTTGCATTATTAAAATTTCTAATTGAATGCGGGATGCGGTTTGGGCTGATGTAAACATACCGGTTTCCATATATGGAAACTCTGTACGATATCTCATTACCATAGCGATGAGTAACTCTAACAACGGTGTTTCCTCAGCTCTGTACCACAATCAGACAACAAAAATGTGAACTATAAACGTTCAGACTCCTGAATCACATCAATTTCAACTATTCTATACCAGGTTAAAATAGAACGTTCAATTTATCTAAGCCACTGATGATAATGCGTTTACATAACTTGGAGGTTGTTATGTGATAAGACAGGATGGGATGGCTAACTTGTAAATAACAATTCCTAATTGGAATTGGTTTGTCGGTTAAGTAAGCTATGCATGTTATGTGCGTGTTGAACAAGTGTGTATGCAATGTAGTCTCTGTAGAATAGAAGAATAGGCCATATGTATAGGTCAGTTTATACATGGTCTTTTAATTAGTGACATGATGTAGTTTTTGAAACTTTTCACTGAGAACTTGTCTACAATTTTCCTACTAATCTGGAACGATATAACATTTTTCTTGAATACAAAATTACCAAATGAAATATTGTTCTGGACTAATGTATTCGTTATTCTATAAAAAATGATAATTATTCATTTATTCGATATTGAGCCATACTATGGTACTTTGATGATTCAGCACAGCGATTCGAGGATTTTTTTTGCATATTAATTTGTTTGCATATGCATTGGGTTACTAGGTTATTTAGTCTATTAGATTAACATAACAGGTTATATTTAACAAACGGAACCAAATTCAATATGAGTGTACTACACCCACAACATGATCTTGTAATATTGCATAAAGTTAAACCTGGATTGTGCAGATATTGTGTTACAAGTGGTTGTCCCGGAGGTGTCCTGACGTAACCATGACCCTACATGCATCATGAGGCATATTACAGACTGACATACTTCCAGGTAAAAATAAACAAGTTGTGAATGTTATGAGGATAACTCCAAGTAAAAAATCTTTCGCTTGTTATTTTCATGACAGTCTGGAGTACAACAAGCCTATGAAACATCAACAAACAGAAATTAACACTAACTCAATGGCACACTATGCTTGCCATTATGTATTGCATGCTAAACGCTAGCTCCCCATGCATATTTAGAAAATGAGCGAATACAAAATTGCTCATATTTACCAAAATGCGAAGGGCGAATGACCGACAGGAGCAGAATATTTATTACAGCTATCCTCAAAGATGCAACCTTAAAAGATCAGCTCATTCATACATGTTGGCCTTCACCTAATTCTAGACCAGATCTGTATATCACGGTATTCCAAAAATGTTATACCTTGATACAATAATTAAACCAGTTGGTACAGAATACAAGCATTGTATATTTCATAAATATAGATATTAGCGTCTACGATCAGGAAGTGTAATGAAATTATTCGGCACACTTTCACCACTATGTAGAGAATCGGTTCCTCAACTTAGAGATGCCGAGATTAACAGTCCCTACAGTCCCCTACCCTCAACTCAAAAGCCCGAAATACAATCCCAAAATCAGATATCATCAGGATCAACAGCCCAGAATTCAGCCCCCTCGACATGTTAGTATCAACAGCCCAGTATACAGTCCCCGACCCTCAACTCAGACATGTTAGGATCAAACGCCCAGAATACAGAACCCAACCCTCAACTCAAACATGAGGATCAACAGCTCAGAGTACAACCCCCAGCCCTCAAATCAAACATGTGAGGATCAACAGCCCAGAATACAGTTCCCAACCCTCACGTCAAACGTCTTTTTTTATCATAACTTTATTTCCATAAATCAAGTAATAAAAATACATACATATGAGCGGCTTTGTTAAAAAACATTATAAGCCACTTTGACAAAAGTAAAAATAAGAAAATTACAAGGGCTTAAGTGATCTGATAAAAATACTATAGTGGGTCACTAGTCTGCCTGGGTTCCCTCAACGCAGTTCCTGATAAACAAACAAACGTCAAACGTCTCGGGATAAACAGCCCAGAGTAACCCCAACCCTCAAAACAAACATGAGAGGATCAACAGCCCAGAATACAGTTTCCAACCCTCACGTCAAACGTCTCGGGATAAACACCCCAGAGTACTCCCAACGGCCAACTCAAACACGTGAGGATCAACAGCCCAGGATACAGTCCCTAACCCTCAACTCAAACATGTGAGGATCAAAAGCCCAGAGTATACAGTCCCCAAACCTCAACCTAAACATGTGAGGATCAACAGGCCAGAAGAGTCCCAACCCCTAAACGTAACATCCGAGGATAAACAGCCCAGAGTACTCCCAACCCTCAACTCAAACACGTGAGGATAAACAGCCCAGAGTACTCCCAACCCTCAACTCAAACACGTGAGGATAAACAGCCCAGAGTACTCCCAACCCTCAACTCAAACACTTGAGGATCAGCAGCCCAGGATACAGTCCCTAACCCTCAACTCAGCCCAAAATAGTGTTGCCAACCCTCAACTGAAACGTAACATTTGAGGATCAATAGCCCAGAGTACAGTCCCCAACCCTCAACCGAAACATGTGAAGATAACAGCCCAGAGTACAGTCCCCAAACATTAAACTCAAACATGTGAGGATCAACAGCCCAGAGTACAGTCCCTTCTTTCAACTCAGACATATGGAGATCAACAGGCTGGAGTACCAGTCTCATACCTGTCAGACATGTGAGTATCAAAAGCTCCGAAATATAGAATTCATGCTGAAATTAATGTCGAATTATCATACATTTTTAGTTGTATCGCACCAGCTTTGAACGCCAAGCTGATGTTGAAAGTGCCATCCAACACTTGGTAGATAAAAAGATTTAAACACAAAAATAAATATTACATAGTGGCAAATAAAATGAGATTTTCATTAGAAGTTTCCTCGGCATAGTATAGCACTCTAAGGAATAAGGGAATGATAATGAGCTTTTGGCATTTTCTTCATTCAAAGGTAAACACCTGCGATTTTTCAAATACACCAATGTTCTCTGTGCACTTGCTGTGAATATATCATTAATATCACAACATCTCCACTATGAATTTTTGGTGAAATAAACTAACTTCAAACCACTTTTTAGTAAAGTTTTACATAACCATTTGACATCATCTGTAGATATATCATCAGAAATATGAATCCCTGTTTTCTGTTTAATACCAAGCTTTCTTTTTTTGTCGTAATTCAATAATTTAAGATTACACCATAAATGAATGGAATGAATAAATTGTGCCGAAATTAAAACCCCAAAACAACGCAATGATTACCAGCAATATTCCGGATAGTTTTTGCAAACCCTGGATTTTGTAAGTACCTAGAATCATAACCTGCTGAACCTGCTGTACAATGTTAAGTTTTAAGAAATAGAATACCAAGAAAGCTATCTTTAATCTTGAACCGTATAAGATGATAATACACACAGCATAGACCGCAGGTGTGATGAACAAAAATATATGTCACGGTGACCTACTTCAGACGATAACCATTTTCTGCATCCATTATTGGGGCATCAAATACTTATTCTAATGATATTCAATTCTATTTGAAACTGGGTCGAAATGTATCCTATTATTTTTAATTTTACACTGAAACCATTTGCTTTTTTGGGGAAATCTGCCAACGATCTGCTTCTGGTGTTAAAAGGTAGATTTCTTTGATGGTAATTTCATTGAAAACATATTAGTTATTATCAGAAATGTGATTGTAAAAAGAATTTGGTCGAACAGTATCACTCACTACTTGCTATTATTACCACCTTGCCGGGCCAGTTCTAGGGGTTTTAGTGCTAGTTTAGAAGGCATTCATTTTACTATATCGACCAGAGAAATGTGTGACGTCATATTGGTGGTCCATATGGACCGGTCTAGAATATATTCTGGACCGGCAATTTTCCCCGGGAAATTAGATATCGTTCAATGCGTAAGATTTTCTTGCTGTTTCAGTCCTGGTCGTTAACGGTGGTAATAATACTAATAACGTCATTTCTGCGAGCAATATAGTGATATATTGGACCTTGGGCCTTCGGCCCTCGGTCCAATATTTCACTATATTGCCCTTAGAAATGACGTTATTGTACTATTGATTGCTACAACATTGTACATTAATTTGACCCCCTCCCCCTGTTTTATACCAGATATAATAGGCACCAATTAACCAATAAAAGAGACATTGCAATTTAGAATGTAGGCACACCTTATTTTTAAATACATAGACTAAGTTTTGGTCATATCATCTCCTTTGATTTTAATGCAAGAATGTATTTAAAGCACAAGTTCTAAAAGGACAAAGACCATAGTCAGCTTTTGTCAAAGTCAGTTTTAAAAAAATCTAAAATCTTCATTATTTATTTAGTTATCTTTGCAAAGTGGTTTCCTATTTGACAAAGGCCTAAAATCACTTGAAAAGTGCTCAAAATGATGAAAACAATGCAATATGGTTTTGATTTAGCCGGAGAGCCGAACTCCCCCTGGCTACGCCATTGGTCTGAAAAGTATTAGACATACTCGCTTATTACCAGTTTGATTTTAAATCAATGAAAACGTCAAAGCTTGTAATCCAAGATGAGTATTATAGTCAGAAACCCATGCCTCTCTATCGTTTCAAAAAATTTACCCAACGTATCGGTCTCTGTTAATTTATGGCATCCATACTTTTATGAAAGGTAACACTTTGAGGCTCAATTTTTTGCCGGATGCCCTTGCAAACTCTCATTGGTTGCTCTGTATTGTTGCATTCCGTTACCATGGTTACGCATCTATTGACATCTTACC